CCCCCACCCCTACACACACACACCCCCAAGGTCTGGGAACAGGAGCCAGAAACAAAATCCAACCCCCAGCCCAGAAGATGGCCCTCTGGTCAGAAACCCCAGCTCGGCTTCTCACCCCCTTTTGCCCCCACAGACCAAGGAACAGAGTATGGAGCTATGGCAGGGATGCTGGCAGGAGGAGAGCTTCCTGGCAGCCACAGGCCTCCCAGGAGCACACAGCGCCAGCCCAGCCCAGCCGCCAGTGCTCTCGGGCACCCCTGCCTAGGAACTGCGATCTGGGGAAGATGCGGGAACTCCGGTAGGGGCCAGATCCCCTCCCTGGCCCAGCCAGAGTGGTGTATCAAAGAACACATCAAAAGTGAAGTGTTTCTGATGGCCAGAAAAAGAAGAGTCCAGAACAGCGGAGAAAACTATTTCCTTAAGGTCCAGCTAAGCACGGTGCACATCCAGCTGGTCAACTCACACCCAGAACTCCCACCGAACTCCCACCGTAGCCCAGACGGGACTAAGGCAGAGACTTTCCTTGAAGTGCAGAGCCCGCCCAAGTTAAGTGCAGAGCCCCCCAGAGGGTGGGCAAGCCTGGCCTCCGCACTGCTGCCCTCCTGCATCCGGGCAGTCCTGCCCCAGTGTCTGAGGGGCTGGCCCACAGCAAAGCCCAGGGGCCTGTCTCCTGCGGCCTCACCTGTGAGGCTGTGCTGGGGGAAGGAGGGAGCATGGGCAGGTTGGATCCACGAGAGGCCCCTGGAGCCGTGCCGGACCAGGGGCCAGGAGAGGACTGGCCAGGCACAAGGCAGGACCCACTCTGCCTGCCGACCTTGATAAAGTCAGAGCTACCACGTCTGGTGTGCACATCCCCAGACCAGAGACGGCTGTCTTTCCTCCCTCCCCACCTTGGTATAAAGCCAAACATGAGATTACAAAACACAGGAAAGGCTCCAGTGAGTCGATCCCTCTGAGCTTGGGCTGCAGGTGGAGAAGGGCAGTGGCTGAAAGGAAGGAGAGAGGGCTGGCCTCCCCCACAGGTCTGGAACCAGGGCACCCAAGCTTCATGACCAAGGTGAGCCAAGGATGTCTCTAGGCCATGGCACTGTTGTGTACGTCCACCCTGTACCCCTCGGCCGGAAGTATCTCCATGTGGCTGCTGTTTCCCCTAAGTTTTGCTTGTCCAAAACCTAAGTCTTTACAGTTTCAAGGAGTGCATGTGTGTTTGGGATTGGAGGCCTGTTTCTCCTGTTCCTCAGCCTGTGGGATTCAGTCCTGAGCCCGGAGTTGTGCCTTTGCTCACTGCGTGGCCCTCACCTATGACCACTCCAGGAGCCGCCCTTCTGCTGACCATTCTCAGAAGCCTTCAGCCCAGCCCCACCCTCATCCGGGTTTTGTCTGAGGATTGACTCAGGACTCCCACATTTTCTTACAGTAAAAAAGTGTTTGGTACATGCAAGTGCTATTATCAAATATTCATACCAGCAGGAATCTAATGGCCATCATATATCCAAGGCAAATGCCACTCCCAAGCCTGTCACACCCACCTGGTATGGAGAGAGGAAGGACAGACAGGGTGGGACCTACTCCAAGTTCAGCTCTGAGGCAGAAACTGGCCCCCTAACAGGGAAGCTGACACACTCTGGTCCCAGAGTGTGTCAGATGGGCTGGAAGTTAGAGCCGGGAGGCAGAAAGTGGACAGAGGCTAGCAGGACAAGACCCCTCCTGGGGTGCAGGCCCTGGGGCCTATGGGAGGCAGGGCTGGGCCAGGCAAGGCCCCTGGGCCTGGAGACAAAGGAAAGAGTTGAGCTCTCTCTCCCTAGGCAACCTGCCTGCTTCCTGCCCACCCCCAGGAGCGTTGCTGGGATAGAAGTATGCCCCTGAGACATACCAGGATGCTCGACAAAACCAGCTTTGCAAACAAGTCCAAGCAGTGTGCTTGGCCCTTCCCTTGCAGGCCCCAGAATAGGTGTGTTGGCAGGGCCAGCTCATGGCTTACAGA